AGGCTACCATCAAGTCTCAATGTAAAAAAAGAAAAAAGTCTGTCTCAAGTAACTTCTATTAAGCATCACTTGCCAGGAGCTTACAGCATGTCTTTCCAGTAATTTACAAATAATTTAACATGCAAGTACAAATTTCAGAATTTATAGTAATTGTAAGTACTGTGTTGGGCAGAATCAGAATCAACTTCCAAAAAGAATGATCTAAAAAACTAGAAATAACCTTCTGCCTCCAAAACCAACAACACATCTACGCTGAAAGTCTGTCTAGTTGTCTAGTCAACTTTGGGTGCCGTATTGAGTTTTATGTCTACACAATTAGGTTGCCAACTTTCCCTCTTAAAAGGCAGTCTGAAAACACTTTTGAGAGCATTTGTGTTAATACAGACTTACCTTTGTGATGAACACCACAAATAATAAAATAAAATAAGCTGAGGACAATTATTCTCTCTACACAGAAGTCTGCATATTGCATAAATGAAAAGAACAAGAAGTCCTGCAGAACTTGCCCATGGACTGTATAATGCAGGATTCCCATAGCAAAAGATATTATAACTAAATTTTCAACACATGTGTGACAAAGGTGTAGCAATGCGGCCTAATTCCAAAATTCACTTAACCAAGATTACGTTAAAAATTGTATGAGGGAAACATCCTCTAATTTTATGACTTACAGAGAAGCACTGAGCACAGCTAACATTTATTTCTGAACTAAAAGGACAAAGTAAATTATCCTGCGCCAGGCAGCAGCAAAACTGGTGCTTGTGAACATTTTGTTGAAGTTGCATATGACTCAGTATGTCTCATATACCTGACTAGCTGTACTGTACCTGAATAGACACGTTTTTGCTTGCTCTCAGTTCAACACAAACTAGGGAACAGGCAAAATCTTTCCAGTTCTGGTATAACACTAGAGAGGATGGATGAAGGGTGGTCTGCAAAAATCAGTAATGACCGTTCTAAATTATTTTTCACATTTGCCTACTTTTTGACCACACAAAATGACACACCTTCATGAGAAATAACATTTTAAAATTTCCTAATACTGAAACAATTTATAACTACTTATAACACATTAAACTGCAAAACACTTGTAGAGCAAGTTTTCCACTTGGATATAAAATAGTCACTTCTCGAGGGCAAAATATGCAGGATTATTTAACTACCTGTCCTTATCAACTAGGATTAACTGAAAAGCACAGCTGTTTTCTTAAAGGCAAAATAATGCTCTAAAGCATGAAGGTATCAGAGATAATAGGGTCACTTGAAATGTAAACACTACTTACACCTGCCACAGGATAGTGTGAGAGTAGAGTAGCTATTAAATCATCTTAACTCTTGAAAGCTGCTTCTTGGATTTATGCCACAGAAAACCAGTCTACCGAGACACACACTCTTGACCTCAGATTGTTTCTGGAACAAGACTTCTGTTATGTGTAAACTCCTTATCTTTGCTATGCCTGTAACTGGTCTGCTAAGAATAACAGAATATATCCCTTTTCCTTTAAACTGTATCTAGTAAATGTATCCCCACATCAAGGTGGAAAACAAACCACACATTTAAAAAGACAGGTCCTGGTAATATCAAGCCAAACATATCGACTCAGGTTTAAGAAAGCTTTCCTTGAACATGGTTCTTAACAGAAAATGCCTTTTACAAGATGGCACGAAATACCTCTGTCATTACTATTCTTGTCTTACTGCCAACTCCTGCCTTACTTTGTTATTACTCTCATTCATTGCAACTCAAAGAGTCTGGCATCAAGTTAAGAACATTAGGTGCTCTTAAAAATGTTATTTTAAGATGTTATTCCCCTTTCTAGCTCTTCTGTAAACTGGCATTTGTTATTTCAAAAAAAGGCCTTACAGCTTCAGTAAAGAGCAGTACCTTTATTTAGTACACACACAGTCTGCCCACAATTGCAGTTTACCATCTCTACCCATTTCTCTTTTACAGGAAGACAGTTACGAAACAAGTAGCCTGTGCCTAACCTTTCTAACCTAAACACTGTCACTCCGGATACGTACCACACTTTCCCAGCCACCATAAATAGAATGGAGAGCTTGGGAAGCCCTGACTCCAAGATCTGTTTTCCCTTTTAGCATCTGGCCCTCTTGCCATTAGTATTTCATCACAGAATTTCCAGAAAAAAGAAACATCCAATACTGACAACACCAAGAAGCCTTTGCTTTCGTATCAGTAGCAAAATTATGTCTTTTACAGCATCAAACCAATAAACATTAATTTGTATGGGGTTTAAAGCAGTTAAATATCACCTGCCTGCGTTGGGTCTAGAAGGGTTGATGCTTCACATCATAACTGAACTGAATTAACTGCTTGCTGCCTCTCCCTGAAAATGAATCAACACATACTTCTGGAAAGGTTCCAAATTCCTAGAAGTCCTTCTCAAGTCACCAGAAACACAGGTTGGGAGACTGGACTGAAACAGCTTCAGGTCTTAACACACTTAAAATACCTAAGCTTGCCTATAGGTCTTCCTAAGCCTACAAGACAGTAGGCTTACTTCACAAGTTGTTAATTAATAGTATTTGGAGGTTTTTTTACTGCTTGCATTCAACAATTCCATTTCTCCCCTTGTAAGATTTTAATAACAGAACTAAAACCAAAACCTATAAATCCTACACACCTACTTTAATCATAATAGCTTATAAATAATGATCTCATAAACAAATAGAGCTGTAAGTTCACATAAATTTATCCTCTAAAACGCCCTGAATCTAAAGAATCTCTTTTGGTGAATCCCAGAGAAGATAACTGTATGAGTCAAACAACTGTACTACTTACATACCTTTCTCTTTTCTACAGGAAAGGAAAAACTTCTGGTTCTTACTTCAGAACAGTTTCCACTGATAAAAGTCAAAATACATGCTGTCCCTCCCTTTCCCCATTCTACCATTAAAAAAAGGATCCATTTTCTTACAAATATATAAGATACTACAAAATATATGTAATCGCCAAAAATAATTCCTACTTATGTGTGAAAATGGGTGCCTATATGAAGCTTCAGGTATGTGCTAATCCTGCTGGAATACAATTTTTTTGTCAGATACTTCTTATTAGTTAATTTGTTTAACCTCTGCATAGCCAGCCCTCTCTCACATTGAGGCACTTAGACTGGGTCACTCCAAAGAACGTGAGAGATAGGCAAAGGAAAGGTAAAGCTGCATGGCTAAGAGCAAGGTGAGGACAGTGAGATCTCCTCATCTCTTCCTTTCAACAGCTGTTATGTTGACTCAGTTGCTCATGAAACAGAAGCTTTGGTTTCTCCTTTAATTTATTCTTTGGCCGTGAGTAAGACAGGGTTATTTTCCACAGTCTGCAATACAAGTGCTTAAATTGCCTCAAGCAGCCTGAACCCCCTGCCTTCCCACCCAGTATCTTGTGTAACTACAGCGCTGTACCAGCTGAAGCACTCCTGCAAATGTGCTACGAAAGAGACCGGGGAAGCGATGTGGCTGCACGTTCCCATATCATTCTTAGTGGTTGAGGCATTACAGCTGTTCCTGCTGCACAGCGCGCTACTCCAGCTGAACGCCTGCTTCCCCTTAACCCCTGCCTCCCTGCAAAACACACAGACGATTCTTCTGGGTCATGTCCCAGGGAAAACCAAGAGAAGGAAACAAAGGAGGAGACAGCTTAAATCTGCACTGAAGATTTAACTGCAGAAACAGACACGGCAGTGGTTTCACCACAGCTCAACCCTATCTAAATTGGCATTGTTGCTACCTTCGCTGCTGTACCTCTCGGCCTCGTGTTCACACTGCCTTCCTCCGCTCAGCACTGGCACACATCCATCTGTGTGGCAAATGGGTTTGGGGTGCTCAGCTGCTGAGATCTTTCTTATTATTTTCCTTTGTCAGGACCATTACATTTTCTGCTGGCTTAACATACTTAACCAGGCTTATGGTACGGTCAGACAAACAAAAGTGTCAGTACAAGACGGAAAGCAGGAACAGCCTGAAGGGAACAGAGCAAGAGTATGTATGACTGCAACAGCAACAAACAACTTTAATCACTTTAAACTGTCTCTTCTTATACCACAGTATAAGAAAATGTGACGGCAACCTAAATCAACTTTTCTCAGCTAGGAACTGCTGCTATAATGGCTCTCCGGTGCTCTGAAGCAGTAAGAGTCAGCACTGTCAGGAAATACTACTTAGTGAATCTACTGACGGTCTTCTAGCATTTTGCAAGTGTTAATTAAGCTCCAAAGCACTCTATGTGAACGGTGAATAAATAAGATTTTAACACTGGATCTCCCTAGCTTTTTCCTCTGACTTCACTAAATAGCATCCGTGAATCTTCACCCCAATCTACTTCTTTTAAGTCAGTAAGAAGTTGTATCTTAGATGAAGTACCTAATCTTGCACTTTGCTATATGAAACTAACTCTATGCCATTTTTGTGGCTAAATGCAGGATCCCGAGTGAAATAAGGAAGACTAACAGGATTCCATAATGCTTTAACTGACTGCAGATTGCAGGACGTATAGTCTACCACGGAACTAGAAGAACTGTTATCTGTTCAGGCTTTCAGTATTTAAAGTGCATAACCATACTCACAAGGATACTTAACTTTCAGAAAAACAGACATACATGTCCCTCATGGCCCTTGTTCACTAAGTTTTGATTCCGCAGAACTTGACATCATTCACGCTGGGAAATGACTTACCGACAGCAATTATTTTTTCAAACCTGTAGTCTTAGGAGCAAGCCTTTCTTGGAAGGCTTCATAAATTACATTTTCTTAATATTTTTTTTCTGTGACAGATTTGAATAACAGTGAGTATTTATTAGCATGCACAGAGACAAAATACAGCACAGGTCACCTGCCATTCACTGGTTTTATTCCTAGAACTTCATGATGGCCATAAAATTCTGATACCTTTTAGCGATACTGGTTGCACTTGAAGGAAAATAGATCTTTAATCCCACAGCAAAAAAAATGCATGTTAAGCAAACAGAAAACCACCACAAACTTACTCTCTAGTTCTTCTTTCTCAAAGTTTGTATTGATAGTAGAGCTGATTTTGCCCATATCCACAACGGCTTCTTCATCGTGACCCTGAAGTAACAAGACACAAGTTTAAGTTAAAACTAAATAGAACTAATGTTTTTTCTAAATCCCTATGTATATTCTGCGGTTCTGAAGCTGTTTGCTGAAATTTTCTAAAACACCACATTTTTACCTCTTAGAAAATGAGAAAGAAAACATCACGGAAAATCTCCCCACCCAATTCTTCAAGAAAGTATTGCCCTGTATTGAAGGAAAAACAGTATATCCACAGATATACTGAATACCATGCAATTTCCTTTTGCAATGCTCTCGATTTCATTGTATCAAGGACCGGGACATACATTTCAGGAGTGCAATATTCTTTTAGTTTTACATTCAACAGCAATGAACCTAATTCAATAAAATGACTGGAAAATTTATAAAAAGTTACATAAGTTAACATTCAGAGATCTTGAACCCATTTGCTTAGGGGGCAATTCCTGTGTGAGATTTTCCAGTGCACGTAAGAAGCTTTTGTGAACCCAAGGTTATACAAAGGGGCAGCGAAAGAGTTAAGTTACATAACTTGGTGGTCTCTCCTAGACCAACAGTTTTAGAAAGACCAAAATAACTGTTTAACTTGGGTTTCAACAGACAGCTTGTTAACCACGCCCCTATCTAATTCACGGTTTTTATGCACAAAGTTAGATAACAGCAGTTGCACGACAGTCTGTTCAGATTTCGTTACTACCGAAACCATATCACTCATAACAAAAAAGCACAGTATCTACAATACAGAGGCTCAAGAATGAGGCTTATCTCTGAATGCATCCTCTAATCACATTTAGCACATCACTAAAGCAGAACTTCAGACACCGCCTTTTGCTCAGTCTTCACAGAAATAAACCTTAGAATAGCGGAACGGTAGAAACCTCATAATCTCATCTCAGACTTGACATCAAAACAATATTGAAGTTGCCTTTCTCCAAATGTTTGCATTCCTTAGAATACAGCCCACTTTTAACAACTCACAAATTACAGCCTCCTGGCAGAACTGGTTCTCCAAAAGAACTGCTGCCTACCCCAAGGGTAACGCTTTACTTTACACCTAGCTACATATAACGGCAAGCTAACTGCTGAAGAATAGCATCCCTACTCTTTCTGCTCCCTTGAGCACACACTTTTTTTCCTTAAGTCAAATCTATCAATCGTGAAGTCAGACACAAAGAGCTGAAGCAATGGATTTCATTATTTTTAACAACTTAATTAGATTTCCATTGGATCAGTTCACCAAACTAAGTTTTCTCCTGTCCATATGACAGCTAGATCCACTACAAACAAATCTGTTTGATCACAGCTTCTGGCAGCAGCCCACTGGTGCATTTACATCGATCGACATGGGATCTGCGATAATGGTTTCACGATGAAAAAATAGAAACCTATATCAGCAGTCTCATAGGGACCGGGAACCCTAACAGTGTTGACATTCACCTAAACTTTGATCTTAGAATTACTCAGTAGTGCAATACTTTGCATATGGAACAGGTTTGTCATCTCAAGGGGAAGTGACAAGGATGAAAAACAACATAACTGTGTAACAGGAACAAGCTAAAACATACTGTAGCAACATCCACAAAAAAATTTGAACACATAACTCCTTAGTCTTAATAAAACAGATAACATTACAGTGTATTGTGCACACATAAACACAAAAAAATCCAAATCTTTGACTATTGAGGAAAGCTGATTAAAGAATATGATGACAAATTGCACGTACAGAAAAGGAATTCAGATGTGGTTTAAAAAAAAGTTAAAAGCAGTTACACCACGTAAAAAAATAGAAGCAGCAGGCACTATGTAAATAAACAAGATACAAAAGAAAAGAGCGGCACATGGCAGAACAAACATCTGAAAACTACCTAAAGGTCAATTCTGAGCTGTGTCCCTAAGAATGATTTTCAAGAAAGGTGTTAACACAGTAAGGTAACTTTGTCAGTACTGCTGCATTACAAAAGAGTTTTCTATGCACATTAGGAAAAAAAAAAAAAAAAAAATCAAAGCTCCTGCACAGTAGACAGCTACAATTAAAAAAAAAAAAAAATCAGGTGACTAAACCGAAGTTGTGTCTGATACGCAAATCTGTGAAAATGTTACAAGAATCTACTAATAAAGAAGTGGCAGAAATTTAGAAAGCATTATGGTGGTAAGATGGGGAGGCAGCAGCATTAAAAAGTTAAAGTTGACAATCTTTTGAGGCACCAAATAAGCACAGCAAAACATTTAACTGCATTGGTAAGGCCATAACACTACCAAGGAGGAATCAAGCATACCTACTATCCCATTTATCTCAGTGACAGAAATAGAAAATTATAGGACTGCAGTACACTCCAGTCCACAGAAACAGATATACACACAAATCCTGCACATTATCAGAAAACTCAAAACTGAGAAGGAAATAGATGAAGTATCACAAATCCTCTAAATTATCTTAAGTGACTTATGAGAGAGAAAAACTCCTAATATTAGGAAAACTGCTATCAAAATTTCTTCCACAATTAGCTTCATGGTTACAGCCACAGACTGCTGAAATACCTTCTACCTAACTTCTCCCCAGCTCCCCACCCACAATAGTCCTTTTAGGACACTTGGTATCTTGCCAAACATACAGGAAGGAAGACAAAGTTTTTCTCCACTTTATACGAACTACTGCACACTGGTAGAAAATTACATACACAGTGCGGAAAATACACATGCAAGAAAAAATTTTATCTCCCAATAACATTTTGAAACTGCACTTGCTGTACACCTCATACCATGTTATTAATATTTATCACCCTTTGCTTTAGTAACAGAGGTACTTTGCCAACCTTATACATACAGAAGCTGCCTTCAAAACCACATCATGTGAAAGTAACATGTCTTTTGAGATTAGATTACAGAAAGGCATGCATGCCCTTGCAAACCATTCTATCGCTATCTCAAAGTACCCAACATATGCAAAGACTCTTCCAAGAATAAACCATTAGCAACCACAAATATCATACATGAAGAAAGCATATCATTTACAGCCTTTGTTTAGAAAAAGAAAAACACAAAGCATCATTTTAACCTAACCTTTTGTGATGCCAGTAGCAAATCCCACCATAAGATACTTTTGCCTTAGGTCAAGCAAAAAACACAATATACTCAAATACACTGTAAAACTAATTCCAAACTACAGCTTTTTCCCTACTAAAAATAAAGTCTGAAGGGCATAGGTTTCCAGTAATTATAGATCTACTGTGTCAGTTTAAGGCACAAAAGTAAGAAAAAACTGTTTCAATTGCTGAATCAAAACACATTCCCATCCCAGTTACCTCTTTGACTTTCTGAACTTTTTACATATATAAAGAGAGGTGGGATGATTTAAAATTCATCAACTTCCTTTTTTTAGGCAGAGAGAATGACTTCATCTTAGAGCAAGCATTAAGCATTCCTCTGCAGTTTACCGTCTGTTTCATGTGAAACTTTATGTACAATAATCCCACAGATGCCCAAAAACCAGCTGATGAAGACAAGCCCAACTAACATTTAAGACTCAGCTGGAATGTACCAAACGTCTCTTTTCAGTCAAGAGACAGAACAGTTGAGAAGGGGAAAAAAAACATCACTAGCAGCAACCGAGGTGCCCCAGGGAGAGATTAAGCCTTCACCTTTGGTATCCTTTTTCACAAGGAGATGGTCACTTATAAAAGCAGAACAAATCCAGAGCACTTAAAGGAGGAAAAAAAAAAGAAAAAAAACACCCACACAAAAAAAACCCACACACACCACCAAAACAACCACTCACGCAAATCCTAGTACACTGTATTAAAATACACTAAGTATATTTCTTCCTAACACCAAATTTGTTGATACTCACAAACATACTGTAGAAATAACCTTCCAGTAAAACCCTGGTATTCAGCCAGAGGTGCCTACACATACTACAACATGTCATCTCAGCTTTCCATCTTCCCCCAGCATGAAAATGACATCCCTTTTCAACTGTTGCAGATCAGACAAGACTTTCAAAGACCCTTTTGCTCTAGCAGAATCCAATAGGATTCCTCTTGCCACCTCTGATTTTCAAATGCCTTTTCTCAGTCCAGGAGAAAAGAGTAATTCCCTTTCATTGCAGACAAACAAGTATCCAGAAATTGTTTACACTTTACTTATTTACCTTCTCCAACATTTGTCTTCATTTATTATGGTAGTTTTCACATTGAAAATATTAATGCTACACATTTTTAAAAGCCGTATTTAAAAACGTCAATGCTAAATTATATGAATCAAGGAAAGCTCTCCAGTTTGCAAGAATTAAGCTGTCAACCTCCAGCAGCACATGTTAGTTACCATCTAGTGGACTGGCACAAATATGACGCACAGAATATTACATCTAAAGGAAACTTTCCACTGTCATCTGTACAAGCTCTTCTCACCATGCAACTTGCCTAACCTTATGCGGTCACATACACATGACAGACTTAAGATGGGCGTGCTGCCAAAGTGCATTACTGAATAACCACTTCCAAGAGATACAACTTGCTAGCAACACATTTTTAAGGTACTTGAAATGTAGTTCAATCAATTCATTCTGGTGATAAACAGTGATCATACAAATGGCTGATACAGTTAACTGTAAACCTTTGAAATACAAGAGTAATACAGTAATTTTGTTGAGAATAATTTGAGTTCAACTTTTACAACCATTACTTAGCTAAGTCAATGTTCATACACTCCATTTATATCCCCTTGGCCCAAAGTTCTTCCCCAACAGAGCTGGGCAACTACTTGCAGCACCAGAAGAGATCACACAAGTGTTCATGGGAATAAGTAGGGCACACAGGAGAGGACACAAACGAACCAAAAACCCCACCACCACTACCCCCCACAAAGAAAAAAATTACATTACCACTTTCACACTGCAAAGAACCTGCACTGCAACATTTATTCCAAGTAGATGCAAACGTTAAAACAAACAAACAAACAAAAAAAAAAAAAAAAAAGAAAACAACAACATGCAGGGGCTGGGGAGTGTTGATATCAAGTTTTTTTTCCCCGTATATAACTGTCCGTGGACAAGACTTTAAGACTTCTAATTTTGATATTAATCTAATACAACTGCCTACACCATCACAGTGAGCACACGTATTGCTCTATAACTGTAATTATATCCCATCCTCTCTGGCTTAAGCAGAAGGCCAGTACTTCCCCCCTCCTTCTAACAAGAACCCATGGATACATCTCTGCCTTTGTGGAGTCACCAGATCTGGCAGATAGGAATTAGCTCTTAGGCTGGAATGTGGTACCAGCCAACCATTCCTCTCAAAACGTGAGCACATACCACTTACAGACCCAACTGGAAAACCTATATAGCATGCTACTGTAGATTTAGAAACTAAGATCAACAGCATATGAGAGTTTTTGTACAGTGCACTTTGCTCTTCATTCTTTCATCGTCAGTACATATGAGCAGTTAAACTGGATCAAACCATCCATCCAACCCAGCATTTTGTCTTCAAGAGGATACACCACTGGAGGCCTACAGCAACTCCCCAAGAAACTTACAAATCAGTGCAAGCAGAATTCAAAATGGTGCTTGACCTAGAGCTCGGAAGCATAGTCAAAGCAGTATTTTTATTGTATCATCAGCCCTCACTTTGTTGGAGGCTCCAGCAACAAGAAAATAAAATTAAATGAAGAAGAAATATCAGTATTGCTCTACTTCAAAAATAAAAGTTTAGCTGGAAAAAGAAATTAAAGCCTTTATTTTGACCACACATGTCAAACTAAAGAGGAACTACAAAACATGATTTTACAACTGTTTTCCAGATATGTGCATGTACATATAGAAAATATTTTAAAACTGACCTTTTTTTACATAGATACACACACAAACTTGTTTTCTCACACAGCTACTGAAATACACTGTTCGTAACAATTAAGAACCAGTAAGGTAATTAATGATTCATTTTCACAACAGCATTTCCCAAGTGGTTTGTTTCAGAAGACTGCATTTCTGTTCTAAGCACACATAATACTCAGTCAGGAAATAAAATACATCTCTTATTTACAGAATGCGCATAACAGCCTCTTCTTTACCCATTCAATCTCCCAAAACTGCAAGCTAATAACCACTAGCACTTTGGGGGGGGGCGGGGAGATTTAGACAAGATCAGTGTTATCTCCTAATTTTGTAGGACTACAAGTCTACCAGAAACAGCAACCCTGGAATTGATAAGAAAAGAAGTCAGAAAATGAGTATATTTGTTAATGACATCTGTGACTACTGTATGCAGAGTTCAATGACAATCATTCTACCTCTGGCAATCATCAGGACTAGGTCTACGCTATAGCTCTCCCACTGTTACCCATACAGAGCATCGAGTAGCCTCAGTTAAGTGTGAGTAAATTAATACGAAGGGCTTTTTGACATGGCTCACCTGCAGGAACAACTAACAGCAGCACTTAGTAAGTTCTAAATATATTGTTTTACTTCTCTGTCAGATTGACTCTGCTTTTAAACCAGAGGTAAGATGAGCCTATGGTGGGCAGGAGGGCGGCATCTCCAGTTGCTGCCTCCTTGAAGGACAGCCAGGATATGAAAAAAAACTAAAGTTCTTTCTAAATAGTGCCAAGTGAAGATATTATTCAGCCTATTAAGCAGCCTTTACCTGAACTGCAAAGCAGTTCTACAAATGCATTTGAAGTTCTTTGGGAATAGTATTGTTCTACACAACAATACTGTATCTTCAGAAGTTGCCAAAGTGATGAAACGCTACCAGTTCTAAATCAAGCACATCAACCTAACAGCCAAGGGAAGATGCACCAAATATAAATGGCCCTGTCTCATTTTGTCAGCCTACAATTTTTAACCAGCCTTGCCCTCTAAATATATACAGATGAGGGTAAAATTAATAATAATTCACAAACAGAACACTTGCCAGGTTTAAAATAGGAGGCATACCATTTAGATGGGCTCCCCCTTGGTTGTATTTGCTAGTCTCATTTGCACAAGAACAGCAGCTTTCCAGATTTTTTTTTTCTACTACCATAGCAGTGGGTATTGCTTATGCACTACAGGAAAGACTCAGTGCAGCTCAAGGGTTTGGTGTCGCTCCCACTCTCCCCCTGCGTTTTTCTTGTGAATTTTATCTGTGGTTATACAAATAGTATTGTACACAACTAACCTCACATGTAAATGAAGATCCCTCCTAATCAAAGCAAAACTCAAGAGCCTCACAGGAAGGTTTGATGCTTAGACTTCAGTAAGACCAGGGCTATAACAAAGGAGGTTAGGAATACTTAGAAAAGTTTTTCTAGCCTACTAATCCTCTAATGAACTGCTCAGCTTACCCTACTATATACATCTGACCAATCTGCTTCTAGAAGATTTAAAAAAAAAAAAACCAACAACAAAAAACACCCAACCAAAAAAAAACCACGAGGAGCTATTACAAACCTTCAGTTTGGACAAGTATGTCCAACAGACATCAACAGACTCCAGTAAGACTCTCCAGAAGTTGCATTTTACTTTTACTTTTCCAAAACTGTGTGTGGAAGACAGTGAAGAGAGACATGTATGTGTGCTACTTAAAAAAACAACACAACACAAAACACACAACCAAATCCACCACACAACAGTAAATAAAACCCCATCACATTTTTGGAAAAAGGCAGTTCTAAACATGTTATTTCAGTGCTTCTAGCAGGCATCGCTCTGGCCACTGCCATGCCCAGCACCACAACCCGCAAGACAAGCCATGTCCCAGACAAATCAGACACTAGTCTTTGAATAGCAAACACAAAGTGCTTGTGTTAATCAGAACACAAAATTAAAATGGGAGAAAAAGTCAGAAAGAAAAGGAAGCATAAACACTGAGAAGAGACTGGCTCACAGTAGTGACTGGCTATCAACTACAGCACACTGCAGCAACTTGTCGATTGAAAAAAAAGGGTTAAAACAAACATAAGAAAAAGGGATTGCTCGATTAATATTAAGGCATGACTAAAATGCAAGAGAATATTTGACTAAAATTAGAAGCCTGTTTGAATTCAACCCGAGTGTTCTGCAAGCCAGAAAATTTACAACCATGCATAAAGTTAGCAAATAATGTCACCAATCCAACACAAGATATCAAGTTGCACATCTAACGTTATAGTAGTCATTTTACGAAGTTGCATTTTATCACTGCCTCGTAGCACTAAATTTCATTCAAAAAATCCATAGCTCCATTCACTTCAATTTCTCAAGTTACAGTTAGAAAAAGCAGTAGTAGTAGAATCTTTATAAGCAGTCACTTCAGATCTTTCC